CTCATCATGGTCCCTTCCAACTCGCCGCCCGAATGACCGTTATGGTTGAAGCGCCCAAGGAATCCATTGTACCGCTCGTAGGGATAAGCCCACCACCCATACATCGGGCCCATAGCATAAAATTGGGGTTCCATGTGAAAAGCGAGGTGAAAATACGGAGTTAGATGGCAGTTCATCCGCGCCCAAGACTGTACCGCATTTCCGAGAGCGGCAAAACCACGTTTGACCTCGTTCGGGCTTATTTCGCGTGTGCATAAAATGCGAACCGATGCTGTAAACTCAATGACAGCAGCATAGCGACGTCGCAGGGATCGGATCATCGTGACCTGCTTGACCCGATTTATGTTGGCCTCGGTGGGATTGGGATTATCAGCCATGAGACACTCCAAAAGCCTTTGACGGACCAATTTTTCAGATTTTCTTTGTGCACGCAAGATTTTGGAATTGGCGGCCGATGGGGGTGCATCAATATCAGGAATTTCTCCATCGACCTGCCATGCCGCAAACAGCGCGAGGAAGAGTACAGAGATTTGTGAACACCATTGGTCCGCTTTCACTGAGCCAGCACCGTGAGATAGCTGAAAAACATCAGCGAAAGAATAAAATTTTATGAGCATACGCACTGATGGTGGTAAACGCCCGACAGAAACAGGCCAAATGATCTTTGAAAAGAACTCCTCCATCTTGTCTACACCTCCTCCGTTCAAGAGGCCACTGTTGTATATTATCGTGCGGTTGAGGTGTTTAATCATGGCTGTATATTGTGAAATCAGCGCTTGACGGTTTGATTTTGTAAATGACCCACTGAGCATGATACAGTGCATGGGCTCAATCGAGGATGATTGTGCCGGACGCCAGTCCACCATCTCGTCCATAGACGACCACCGGATGCCATGTTTGCGAAATATATCCTCCGCCACCTCTGGTGTTGCATCACGGGCTCGAAACACGTACTTGAGGTGACGATCATCGTCACGGAGTTTAAATTCTGCTCTTTTATCATCCGGAAACTGTACTCGAAACAAAACAGACTTACTGCTCGGATTATAACAGCGAGGCTGAGTGAGTTCATAAAAGTGCATGTAGCAATTTGGGCACATGAAGAATTTCGAGTTGTGGCTTGGCAGGCCTGCAGTTTTGCGGCTTGCAGGAAGGAAGGAAGGAAGTAAATTAACCGCGGTGGTCCCAATGAGGAACGTACGGGTACTGTACCTACGTACATGAGCCAAATGTAGGCTACAGTTAACTAGAACTTCGGACGTTGTGATGGAAGTGCAGCACTTCGTCTCGCGAACGATAGATCTAGGAAGGATGGGTGAGATTACAAGGAAGACTCCTGGGGCATCCAAGGGAGCGCTTATCAACACATTCCCCAACGAACTGGGCCCAGATTTTTCGGTGGCCCAGGCGTCGTTTGTATGCATTGCTGTTTAAAGGCTTTGATGACAGATGTTAGATTGTTACTTATAATCCTGCTTTAGTTGTGTTACGAGTTCATGTCGAGACACTGAAACTTGTTGCAATTATGCGCGGATATATAAACCAGGGTCGCGTTTTCATGGCTGAGATGGAGGGAGTTTCAGCACCGTCGGGTCAAATGTAGTTGCTGTGCCTTTGCCCCCTACCCCTTATTCAATAGGAGCAGATCTAAGACAGCGCTGTTCGCTGCCCGGGACAGTCCGCACACCCATTTGCGCGCGAGGGCTCAAAGTTCGTTCAAAGACGCACTGTTGAGTTCACTGCACGGCGCTCGATGCGCCGCCAGTCTTCCCTTGTACGTGGCTGCCTGAGTTCACTGTGCGGCGTATCAAGCGCCTCAAGTCTTCTCAGAGCCAGCTCTTACGGTAACCTGGTTGGGTTCACTGTACGGCGCTCGGTACGCCGTCAGTCTCCTCTTATGCAACTGATCTCGCAGTAAAGGCCAATGTGGCTTGTGGGATGATGTGCTGAGACCGCCGCCAGACATAGGGGCTGCGCAACAACACCGACGAAAAGGTGTGCCGTGTCGCACAAGGATGGACGGAATGGCATAGATGTCCCCCCCATATTGCAGGGCAGAGCCTGAATTGCGGTGGGACTAGCCAAGTTGTAGCCGGTCCTCGAAAATCGATGATGGTGGCAGGGAGGTCAGATACGTTTGAGAGAAGCTGTGAATGCGAGATCTGGGGAGTGGGAAAACCGTGCACCCGAAACTCGACACCTGCGAATAACATAATCAGAATGATGCAAAATGATCTATTGAGCGAAAATTAACCATTGTAGAGTCGCTTCATGGAGTTCACGAAGGATATCAGTACATGGTTCAACTGTTCAAGTGATGGTTCGAAAGGACCCGGAATTGCGATCACCAAAAAACTCTCCTCTCGAAAGAACTGGATCTCGCGGGGATTATTGCAGAGGGACATATAAAGCGCTCCGGTGGAATGTTTCGAGCCTTTAACGGCCTGGAACCTGCAACCGTAATTTAGCCCAGGACCTCCTCTGGGTACGTGACTCACCAATCGATATTCATCTGCCAGACTAGCCCGCAGGGTAGCGAGACGAAACACTGATCAAGCTCTCGTACGTCCACATCTTCAACCTTCCAATCGCCGGTACGCCGCCGAATAAGACCCGCACGCATCGCCCGCCATGCCCACCCATCGCAAACACTTTTCATCGGTTTGTTTGGATCTTCAAACGCTTGGTATCCCGTCACGTCGTCCAAAGGAAGGATACGACCAGGTGCATCTCCAGCTGAGTGCCACAGCTGAAGCTGTTTGTATTTTCCGGGACGCATCAGCATGTGTGCTATGGCGCGCTTGGGGTCGACAAAAGGCATAATCTTGACTGGTGTTCGCTTCAGCTTTCCATCGGCCATCCGTTTTGATGTGAATAGGGATCCAGAGCAGTTCGTCTCTCTGCATTTACCGGACTCATGCAGGTTTGGCAACTCTTCTGGCCGGTGTACCTTCCAGCATACGTCGCAGACGAATAAATAGGTGATGAATCCATCTGTTGAAACACCTAGCCGCTTCTCGACCGTTGCCAAAGTTCGAGCAAAACTTTCCAGCCCAGGAATTTCCAGCTGTGTGGTGCGTCTACCGAAATCCAGCCCAATGAACAAGCCATCCAGCATGAGTCGAGCAGCAGAATGTGTCATGTTCTTAAAGGTGCAACCCACAAAGACACGAATATATCCATTGCGAATGGCTGGGTGGTCATAGAACGCAGGCGGAAGGGGAGTCTCGTGAGTTTCAAGATCATCGGGTTCGTCTTCTCCGTGGAATAATGCCGCACGGGTCGCAAATAAAGGAGCTTCGGATACGTTTTCGATGATATCATCCAAGTCAGAAGCCACCGAATCCGAATCGCAGGTGGATGAAGTGTCGGAAAAATCCGGGTCAGAGTCAGACGCAGGAAGGAACTGCCTCTGACAGAAGGTCCAGTCTGGGTCTGATTCGGATGCAGAACTCCAGCCAGCATCCTCGCGCGCCAAATCTGCTTGATCCGGATAGAATTCAAAGTCGTCGGTATCGTAGTCGGGTAGGTAGGGTGGAATCAGAGAACAGGATGATGATGCCGCATCGCCACCATGATCTGCATCGTCTTCCGGGGATGGGGAAGCAAGCGGAGCAAAAGGGCCGAAGTGGCGAGAAATTGTTGGAGGTAGCAGGATTGGCCGCGGTAGAGGAATCTGGCGCCTTCGATGTGGGTTTTCAGATGTATGGGGCTCTTCATCGTAATGCCGTCGCGCTGTTCCTTTCGTCAGGGATACGCCGAGAGGTCCAGCAGCAGAACACTTGGTGCAGTGACAGTAGACAAGTCTTCGGTCGCCTGACATCGAGTTATCAATCAGACGGGAGAGATGGCGGATGAGATGCAAGAAATGGCACGATTTTGGATTAAGCTTATTCAGCTGTTTACCACTGAATATCGGCAAATTGCTAACAGAACATACACAGAAGATACATGAGGTATTGTCAACCTGCCAATACACGGCTTATATTCCGTGTATAATCGAAATATTGGCCGATCAATATTCGGTACAAAGTCCGGTGCCATGGACTCATTCAAGGTTTGCTGCTCTGCGGGTTTCCTGTACGTTTTTGTACTCGTTGAAGTGAAACGGAACTTGCCGGCCGCCGGACTTGGGAATCTGGCAAACGAGCGGTAGCCAAATTCGGGCGTCAAAAAAATCTGCAATGCAAAATTCAATCTTGCGGACTGACGCTTGTGCTGTCTCTGGATGTTGGACGCTTCTCCATCTTGACTTACCTCGCTCCCAGAACGGCCTCATTCAAGACTCCCTGATTGCTGGTTTTCTCTGCTTGAATGAATCTTGAAGCTAGCGGCTGGCAACGATGAACTTGTTCGCTCTCTCCAACGCGGAGGTGAAAACGACTTTCTTGACCACCGCTGAACAAATTCACGCTTCACCATCCATTATGGCTTGAGCATTGCTTTTTCCACACCGTCTGATTCAACCTTCGGTGGCGCCATTACTCTGCTTATTCTGGCTTTCGACTCAAACGAGTTTTTGCCTGCCTCGCCTTAGTCGCGTTATCTCTTGTTTCGGCGAACATATCGGACAAATGGTACGGATTGATTTCTTCTGGCTGTAGACTAATAATTGACTGTTTTGGCCTAGTCATCTTTTCTTCAGACTCATCCTACACTGCTTATTCTAATTCTGAACCGCGTATTTATTCCTCCTACTTATCTTGTGCATTTCATTTTAAGGCAAGACCTGATGGCACAATGAAGTGCATCTGCTCGAAGTTGATGAGTCCCGAGACCATCCGCAGAAGGTCCCTGTTCGAACCGGGGTCAGGTCGTCTGTCCTCGACCTACGTTGTCTGTTTTTTGTTTACTGACTCATGACACGGACAACATTCAATCCGCATGTATATCGTTGCCAACATCCATCTCAGCTCGCAAGCCCTCTGCCCTCACCCGCAAGCGCCTTAGGGACTAAAGCATGACACGCACATAATCAGGGGCATAATATTGATGTTTCAGACCTGATAGCACAAAACGAAGTGCATCTGCTCATCATAATTGGGATCACCGTGCCAATTCAGTCAGTAGAATATCCCCGTTCGATTCGGGGTCAGGTCTTTTGATGGCCTCATTTTTTTTCTTCACTTTGTGGCTCCAGACGTTCTCAAACAAGTAATTTCTCCTCATCTCCTTTCTCAATTTAGGATGTTTATCATATAACAAACGAACTGAGTGCACAATTAAGTGCCCCTGCTTAACATTTCTGGAGAAAGAGTCTCAGCATCCGCAGAGGATCCCCGTCCGAGCCGGGGTCAGGTCATGGTCCAGTTGCGTCCCGCTTCTTTTTCCTCAACGCAATTGAAGTCCCCCGTCGTTTAGATCTCGGCAGTGGTTCATCGTTCATTTTTGGGTGCGCAACGTAATTTCTGCTCATATTCCCTATAAACACACCTCTCTTCCCTCGCTGCTTTCCATCCACAGGTACACAATTCATTACTAGTCCGTTTCTTGGATGGCTTCTCGAATTTTAATTTGCAGGGTACAGAACATGGGATTTGCAGACCTGATGGCATAATGAAATGCATCTGCCCGTCATAGTTGACAACTTTGCCAAATATTAATTTAGACAGCTGAATGTCCCTGTCCGAGTCAGCCTGGTTGAACAAAAGCTAACAAATGGTTCAACGTAGGTATGGAGGCTTGTACAATTTTCATCTGTGCATCCTTCACACTAGCATGGTCTCCAGGGTACTTGCACGAGCACTGTAGGCATTGGTTGGCCGAAGACCCGGTTTGAGTGGGGTTTAGTTCACAGATTTGCCTGGAATTTCCACCCTCTTCACTCCAGCATCACCTTGCCCTTGAAAATACTGCTGTTCATTTCCAGCCCGGTAGTAATGGCTTTAATTATGCATTATTCGTCCACCCACAACTTCACCTCGTTAGTCTTTTCATTTGATGTGTATTTTTAACATTACCTATAGGATTAGAAGTGGAATCGGACTTTGCAACAACAGTATGGTGAATTTCAAACTGAATACTGAAAACATATAGTACAACCGTGTCTCTCCATTTCCACATATTCCAAGTTCCAATGCGGCATCTGAATAGATAGGCATGTGCATTGGTTCTGCAGGCTAAAAAACAACAGCAACTGCATCCTGTTCATCATGGTCTGTTTCCTTGGACCATTCAAGATTGACCAAAGCATCATCTGTTGCTTCCTTCAGAGGATTCTCGGTGGGTGCATTGGGCTCAAGGGTTTGCTGGATTTTTCCAATTCTCTGTAAATGCTGCCGAGCCGTTCATCAATCTGAATAATTTGATTTTCCTGTGAAGATCGTTCAAACAGTGGCCTGGCCATTCTCCAGAGGTCCATTGCCTTTGCCGCATCTCCTTGGCCATTTGCCAAATCTCCAAGTCGAAACATGCATTCTGCTCTGCTGCGGTGAACATCCATATCAGTGAATCCATCTAGGGCAACAGTGAAGAGGGAATGTGCAGTATTCTGATCATCCTTGATTTGGAAGACATCACCAATGAACTGCAGTGCTTTATGAATGTGGAGCTTATTATGAGCTTTTAGGGCAAAGCATAGATATATCACTGTCCATTGAGCAGACAAGACATGATCAGCACGAGGCCATAGCATTACCTCAGCAAGGCCCTCAAGACATAGAAGTGTATATTCAATGTCATTTCCACAGAAGACTTTGAAGCATGTCTGGAGTGTAACCCTTGCAGCAGTTGTGTTTCCATTTCCGAGCTGCAATCTGCCCAACTTGATGTCACATGCACTGACTGCTTCTTTGTGTCCTCTTTGATGAAAGATCGCTTTAGCTTTGTCAAGGTTCTGGTGCACAACCTGTGCATTTGCACCAATGTCATTATCAAGTTGTGCAAAGCCGTAAAGAGTCCATGGATGAAGTGCTTGTTCAGGATCTGCTGCTGATCCCTTCAGAAGTTTGAAAAGAATTTGACGGGCCTCAGTATATTCTGATTTTAACCGATGAGCATCTGCCTGCTTCTGCAGGAGATCGGACTGATAATAGCTACCGGCCATATCACAAAGCTCGGCCAGCTGTATTGCCCTTTCACATAGCAAGATGCAATTGCTGTTGTTACCCAAGGAAGTATTACACCATGCAAGCATTTTCAAGGCACGGGATTGGAGAAATAAATCTGATGATGCTTGAGCAAGCTCCCATAGTTTGTTAGCATAATCTTTGGCTGCCTTCGCATCTTCTAAAGCCACTTTCACAACAATCAGTGTTTCCAAGGCTCTGGCCTGCTGTTGGTAGTCTGCCTGATACTGTGCCAGCACTTTGTATGCATATACCATGCATTGAGTTGTGTTGTGAATACTGTAATAGTAAAAGGCAACCCTATTGTAGAACCTACCTGACATATGTGTTAATAACAACGGACATTAGCAAAGACCGATTGCAGCCTCACATTCAATCATTGGGTCATAGAATTCAGTAAGAAGTGGTGTGGCTGTGGTAATGAGGGAGTTGACATCATTTTGCTTGGTATGTAGCAGCTCTGTCATGTATTGCACCTTGAGTTTGGCATCTGCACCTAGGAGAGGGGCAACTCGATCAAGCAGAAGTTGGTGCATGGGCATGATCATTCCGTTTCTTGTTGTAAACTTGGCCAGAACAAGTGTGCACTGTACTGTCTGCCTCAGATTTGGGTTGTCTGGGTGTAGACCTTCCAGTAGAAGTTGCTGTAGGTTTGCAACATTTGGTAGCAGGACATTGCGACTTTGGGACATGCCCTGAATGGCATAATACTTCTGAGACAGCTGCAAGTGCTGATGGAAATAATCTTGCAACTGGTGAACAAGGGCTGGTGAAACAGGATGAAAATGTGCCATATGCTCTCGAATGGGCACTAGTGCTTTCAACCGATTCTTTGCATCATTGTATGCTAGGGAAGTACCAAGCAGTATAGCTTTGCAGGCCAGGATATTTTGTATGGGGAGTTTGCTTTGCACAATATCTGTGTCTGAAAGTCCATTTGGCAGAATTGCAAGGAGAGCCAAGAGCTCCTTGGCACCAGGGGTCATACGGGGACTTGAGAGTGAGGTTGTTATTGAGGAGTCCAAGTTGGACCTCCGGTCAGTACCTGCAGAGAGGGCAGAAGTCCTCTCTATCTTCCATCGAGTCAGGACATTGGCACAGCTTCCCTCATAATCCACGGTGTGTGCCATGAGAGAAACCGCTAATGGCATATTGCCTGTCAGAGAAAGGACTTCATCTACACCATTGCCCTCATGGATATCCTCAGCAATGTCAATAAATGTTTGACGAGCAGCGGCATCTGATAAGGGCTTCAAGGGTGGTAGAAATGGGTGGCTCCACTGGACCTTGGCCGGACGTTGCGCCCCTCGCCTTGTGATCTGCCTGTAAGTTAGTGGGGATTGTACTTCACTGAAGGATGACCTACAATTAGGGCAAGATGTGGAATATCAGTCAGCTTTGATAGAAATTCCTCAACCTCACTTTGCAAAGGCTCCCAAACAGTTTCCAGATTATCCAAGATCAGCAGACTGGGCTCAGCCCTAGAAAAGTGGCTGGTGAGTAGTTTCCCAGTGTCTCTAGAGTTCCCTTGTTTGAGTCCAATATGTTCTCCAATGCTAGTTGCCAGGTCAATGCTTGTTATGCAAGACTCAGCAACCACAAAAAAGCAGTGCTGGTATTTCTGTGCAATCTCTGGATGATGAAGTGCAGCCTTGGCAAGACTTGTTTTTCCCATTCCTCCAGGGCCCAAAATTGCAATCCTGGCTGGTATCTGGAGGAGTATATCCACAATGTGGTCCAGCTCGGACTGACGGCCATGGAATATCTATGGCTTTGCTGGCAACATTGAAATTGAATTGGAGCTTAAAGAACCTGATCAGCACTATTTCAACTAGTTGAAGTTCATCTTTCACCTATTTTGAGAGGCATTGGACAAATAGTGAACCTGCTCCAGATATCAGAATCCCTCAACAAAGAAACAGATCTTTCTTACAGCAGACAATCTGTCAGACAATGCTGTGTTGTCAGAAAGGGTGGAGAGGAACTCTAGGACCTCTGTGTGCATGTGGTCCCTTGCTAAATTCAGCTGAGCAATGTCACCGAGAATAGTAACATTGGCCTCAATCTACACATCATTTGAGTTGGCATCACAACCAGACTTGGAAAATGAACCTCGAACTCCTCAAATGCCTGATCCAACCCGATTCGAGCCTCTTTGATTAGAGTCTTTGTTTCAATTTGTTTGAAGAAGTGTTTAAATTTGCTTCCATGATGCTGGGCTTCAATCAAAATGTGAATCTTGTGAAGTGTCCTAACCAATCATGGGTTGATGTCATATTCATGAATGATGGCCATACTGTGTAAATTTTCCAAGATGATCCAAAGTGGCAGGGGAAAGACTTCCTCTGCTTTCTGAGTTGAGATGTAGCTTCATGACCACACAGAGTAGTTGATAGACATTCTCCATGATCTGGAGGCAGTCATCTTTGTTCTTCTTTACATTCTGTACTTCCGTCAGATTATTGAAAACACTGACACAGGATATCTCACCTGTAGCGCAGTAATCAACGAGAGAGTGGTGTTTGTAATCACAGGGACAAACGGAGTACCAATGGCATCACTGAGTTCATTGAGGAGCGACACAGCTGAGGTCAAACACGCAATAATGTTGGTTGTGCGGACATCGGTGATACTACCTGGGTTGGGCATCCTTGCAGGGAGACCACCCTCGAAATGCGAGCTTCTTATATACATGTACTCGCTTCGAGGCAGGGCTCCGCGATTCCTTGCATGTAATCCATTACATCGCTCCATCAGAACCATCCGTCGAAGGATAAAGCATATTTTGGGCTGCATCTCGGGCTTCCGATGAATCGGTGACCCGTTGAATCAGGGCTTCCGATGGAAGCATTCACTCGGCTCAGAGAAGACAGCAATTTTGGCTCAGATGGGACCCAGGTCGCGTACAAATGAGCGGCGCTGTTTGGCCCATCATTTGGATGCGGAGCGCTGTTGGGTCAATGTGCACGGCGCTCTCTGGCAGGAGTTGAATGAATCTGACCCTTGCTTCCTGTGGCTTCCGCGACCACATCG